GAGAGTCTCTAGAAAGAAAATAAGCCTATGAGAGAGAATGATGAGCCTCTAGAAAGAAAATAAGCCTATGAGAGAGAAGATCTTCAGAGAAAAAGACCTTGTGTGATGATCTTTTTCTTCTAGAGAAAGAGCCTCTAAAAAGAATCTTTCTCTAAAAAGAAAATGAAGCCTCTGAGAGAGACGATCTTCAAAGAAAAAGACCCCAGAGAGAGAAAGTCTCTAGAAGAGAGAGAGCCTCTAGAAAGAAAATAAGCCTATGAGAGAGAAGATCTTCAGAGAAAAAGACCTTGTGTGATGATCTTTTTCTTTTAGAGAAAGAGCCTCTAAAAAGAATCTTTCTCTGAAAAGAAAAAGAAAAAGAAGCCTATGAGAGAGACGATCTTCAGAGAAAAAGACCTCAGAGAAAAAGACCCCAGAGAGAGAAAATCTCTAGAAGAAAGTAGAGAGTCCAACTAAGTCCAACTACTATGGAAAATTATGGTCATATTGATTCACGAGTTCCCTCTCTAGATGAGGAGAACTCGAGATGAGGAGATGAAGATAATCGAATGAGTTCCCTCTCCAGATGAGGAGATGAAGATAATCGAATGAGTTCCCTCTCCAGATGAGGAGATGAAGATGATCGAATTTCTCGATCCTGATTGATGATCAAGTTTCTGTTACGCCATCCTGTGATGATCCTTTTCTTTTAGAGAGAGAGCCTCTAGAAAGAAAATAAGCCGCCTCTGAGAGAGAAGATCTTCAGAGAGAAGGCTCTCTTTTAGAGAAAGAGCCTCTAAAAAGAAAAAGAACTTTTTAAAAGCCTCTGAGAGAGACGATCTTCAGAGAAGAAGACCTAGAGAGAGAAAGTCTTGGAAGACCCAAGACCTATCTTCCAAGACCTTAAAGAGAGAAAGACCTATCTTCCAAGACCTTAAAGAGAGAAATTTATCATGGAGAGCCAAAGGTTAAATTTATCATGGAGAGCCAAAGGTTAAATTTATCATGGAGAGCCAATGGTTGTTTCTTGGAAGACCATGATTCCTATAAAATTTATCATGGATTTGATCACTACTCTGTTTTTTTTGTAATTTAGTATTATTCAAACTCAATTCAACTTGAATTTGAGGGGGAGTGCTGGGATATAGATATCTCGAGATATGGATATGTGGGTTCATATTGATATACATCATTATGTGGATGTAGATGTACATTTATATATCTCTTGATAAAGTTAGGTATCTAGAAGATAATGACCAAGTTAGGCTTTGGATCCGTAGATATAAGGCTAAATATTGTGTTCTCTTTTCTTCTCTCTCCATTCTCCATTCTATGCTCCCACAAATTCTAACAGCATTGGTCATGAAATGCTTTCATACATGCATCATTCTTGCTCTCATTCAATGAAATCAAATAATGGGTACAAATGCAAAATAGAATAGAGGTTACCTATGGGTACAAATACAAATTCATCCTGGCTCTCATTAAATAAAGTTGTACAGAGAAAAGGTATAGTGAAGAACTTTTACTCTTTCATACCAAACTCTCTCTCTCTGACCTCTTCATTTGAATTCACATCGAAAAGACCTCTGGCCATTAGGGATATGATAGTGAAATAATTTTTCCTCCTAATACAGTTATTTATTAGGAATAAAGTACACGAGATGTTGCTGCACCAAGCAAGAGATGTAAACAAAAAAACTAGGAACAATTACCATGATCTTCAACTTTCCAAAAAAATAACTTTAAAAAGTATCACAAATATGATCAATATTGAGAAAATTATGACAAGGTGGGCGACAAAATGCAGATGGACCTAAAAGAAAGCAACAATAAGAATTAAGAAAATACATGCTCTATATGAAAAATTGATCACCAAGAACTTCTGGCAATGCAAACAAATTACTATATCAGCCAAACCATAGCTTTTTGGCTACGAACAGTTTCCTCTCAAAAGGTTTACATCAATGGTGAAATACAATGAGTCTACTCCTTCCATACTGCCTTATTCCAAAATGAAAATAAAAAGAATACAATGAATATACTACTTCCAATATGAAAATAAAAAGAGGACAATGAATCTACTCCTTCCACATTCTCTCCTTCCAAAATAAAGAGTACAATAAATCTACTCCTTCCATATTTGCTCCTCTTGAAGACGTGAGAGATGACATGCTACCTAAAATAGTGAGATCCAACTTAGGTAATTGAAAGACCCTACAATAGACACAAAGTTCCTAGCATTATTTTACCACAATATGTGACATTGATCTAGGCTTAACCAAATAAGCCCATAGAACTATTTTGTTCCCTTAAAGAAAAAAGAGATCAAGATGCCCTAAAATAATGGTCCATAATATAATGTGAAAACTCTTGTGGCAGCAAATTAAAAAAAAAAGAGTATAGGCTTTATTCCCTTTTTTGTGAATGAGATGGTAGGGTTAAACGATAGAGAGAGGGGGAACAGGGCAGCCGGCTGAACCAGAAATGAGAGAGAGAGAGAGGGGGCAGCTAAAACGCAAGAGATTTTGGTCTTTTAATTGAGAGAGAGAGAAAGAGGCCCGCTGCCCCCATGACATTAGAGAGATAGAGTATTGTATTTCGTCAGGCTATTTGCATAAATTGTTTTGAAATAGCTTTGAAATCAAACCAAGAGGGGTCACAACCGTGAAAAGTCCACAAGGTGATCAAATCCGTTCCGCTCACCCCATTGGCATAGGCGGGCCGACCAACAATATCATTTTCTATATATATATATGGGTGTGGTTTGTATAGAGCCTAGGCTCTAAACAATCAAATTAAAGCCTACCTTCATATAGTGTCGAGAAATGTGTTTTCACTACTTAAAATACTTGTGATAGCCTTAAAATACATTTTCATCTTTATTTATAAAGTTTAAGCTTAAAAAATAGAATAGATCAATAGATATATGAAAACTTGAAATTTTATAAAATTGACAGTCTAAAAATGCGTTACAAAATACACTATTTCTAGAACTGGAAATCTATTTTTTTTCTCATGTCCATGCATCTTGATGTTGAGATGATCAATTTGAAGATATTTGGACATCAAAATAACCTCTTCTAATGAAATTTTTGAGGTAGGCTCAAATTTGATTGTTTAGATCCTCGGCTCTATATAAACTT